GCTATATGAATAATTTCTCTTTCTGGGTGGTTGAATATACCATATTTTTCGCACTGTAAGACACACTTTTCCCCCCAAAAAAGTGGGTGGAAATGTCTTTGTCTTATAGAGTGAATGTTGCCAAAGCACCGCCCACCCACCTGGCAAACAGCCTTGTCAGCTTCAGCACATCCTGATTTAGCACAAGCAGCTGATTGGCGGTTGGATCAGCTTCCTGGAATACTGCTGATCAGCTGTTCCAGGCTGCGGGGATCACCGCCACTGATTGCCGCCACCACCTATCACCGATCCCCGCTGCCTAGAACAGGCAAAAACAGGATGTGCGGAGGTGGCGATCCCCGCAGCCTGGAACAGCTGATGGTCAGTATTCCGGGAGGCTAATCCAACTGCCAATCAGCTGCTTGTGCTAAATCAGGCTGTGCTGAAGCTGACCAGGCTGTTTGCTGTTTGCTACAAGGAGGCAAATTGCTGGGAGGCAGAGGCAGAATTTGTTTTCTTGTTTTCCTCCCCAAAAGCTAGGTGTCTTATGGTCTGGAGTGTCTTATAGTGCAAAAAATTTGGTACATCACAATCTTGTCCTTTATAAACAACACAGGCCGTTCTCTAAATTCACATGTTTTAGACAATCTTTTTGGCATACAGTCAACATAATCTTTATTCCTTGAATCCTAATATTTTAAAAATGCCTTTCAAAAATTATGTTCTTCTAGGGTCAAAATACACAGGAAAAGTGTCTACTGTTTGTTCCGACAACACGGAACTGCGGGCGGGCGTGACTGACTGGCTCAAATCTCAGGCGTCAAAGCGCTGTGTTCCAAGCCAGGTCTTCATCCTCGGAAACAAGTGGTAGTCACTTGGTGCAAGATCGGGGCTGTAGGGCGGATGAGGAAAAATCTCACACTTGAAAGCATTCAGGACTTCTCGAGTGCCGTAGTTCGGCCATTTTTAAACTTAAGGCACCATTGGCGCACTCCACCTTCAGTGATGATGTCCCCGTACACTTCACACAGTTGCCGAAAAATTTCAATCGGTTTATGGTTTTTTGCTAACAAAAACCTTATCACTGATCACACCTCACAACTCGAGGGATTTTCAATTGCAGCACACATTTCAAACGTTTGCTGTGAAATAACGGGCAACGATATGAACCTCCCACTAGCACGACTAGATGCAGACTGAGTGGCGGACGCACAGACCAAAGATGGCCGTGCTAGCTCTGCCCCTTCTTACTACAGACGAAAACGTAATCTATTTTGTGGATAGCCCTCGTATTTCTGCTGTGAGCAGGACATCAGAGATTGGAAGTGAGGCCAGAGTATGCTCACTTTTGACACTGAGTAGCTTTCATTAGGCCAGTACCATTTCAAGGCTCTACCTTAGATCTGAGGTTCCCAGTCACTTCGGATGACAAGCAAGTCTTTTTAGTCATAGGAAGAGAGCTAAGCACACATAGCAATCAGTGAAATGTAAAGTGATTGAAAGTACTTCAGAAAGCACCCAGAAATATATAAGTGAATCAGACTAATTAAAAGTAACTGTCTAATGGGCATCTGCTGGCTTCAACTCTCATTCCTGCTTCAAACACTCTCATTCCTGCTGGCTTCAACTCTCATTCCTACTATCATTCTACTATCATCCCAGTGCCAAAGAAGCCCTCCATCAAGGAACTGAATGACTACAGACCAGTTGCTCTAACATCTGTAGTTATGAAAATCTTTGAAAGGCTTGTGCTGTCCCACCTGAAAACCATCACGGATCTGCTGTTAGATCCCATGCAGTTTGCATACCGAGCAAATACAGATCGACAGATGATGCTGTTAACAAGACTCTGCATTATATCCTACAATACCTTGAATCTCCAAATACCTACGCAAAGGTCCTCTTTGTAGACTTCAGTTCAGCATTCAACACCATCATTCCAGACACTCTTCTAAGTAAATTAAACCAACTAGCGGTACCTGAACACACTTGTAAATGATTGGTCTCATTCAATTCAACGACGAATCTGCATACAGACAGGAGGTTATACAACTTGCCTCGTGGTGTAACCGGAACAATCTGGAACTGAACACACTCAAAACTGTAGAAATGGTGGTAGACTTTAGAAGAAACCCTCCCATACTACCACCTCTTACAGTACTAGACAACACCGTATCAGCAGTAGAGACCTTCAAATTTCTAGGTTCTACTATATCACATGACCTAAAATGGACACCTAACATCAAAAATGTCATCAAAAATGTCATCAAAAAAGCACAAGAATGTTCTTTCCGCGCCAACTCAGAAAGCTCAAACAGCCCAAGGAGCTGCTGATACAGTTCTACAGAGGAATCATTGAGTCTATCATCTGTACCTCTATAACTGTCTCATTTGGTTCTGCAACCTAACAGGACAGACACAGACTTCAGAGAGTAATTAGGACTGCAGAAAAAACAATCACTACCAACCTGCCTTCAATCGAGGACCTGTATATTGCACGAGTCAAAAAGAGGGTTGTGAAAATATTTACAGACCCCCTCACATCCCAGACATAAACTGTTTCAACTCCTTCCCTCAAAACGATGCTATAGATCATTGCACACCAGAACAACTAGACACAAGAACAGTTTTTTCCCCAAAAGCCATCACTCTGCTAAACAAATAATTCCCACAACACTGTTCAATTATTACAGTCTGCACTACTATTACTGTTAATCTTGTCATCGCTCCTTATCAGCCATCCCCTCCCACTTGTGACTGTATGATTGTAACTTTGTTGCTTGTATACTTACAATTTATATTGACTGTTTCCTAGTATGATTTGATTGCTTATTGTACCCTATAACTATAATTAAGTGTCATCTCAACTCTTGACGAATGTATCTTTTCTTTTATGTACCGGTAAAACTCAAAAAATTAGAATATCGTGCAAAAGTTCATTTATTTTCTAATGCAACTTAAAAGGTGAACCTAATATATGAGATAGACTCATTACATGCAAAGCAAGATAGTTCAAGCTGTGATGTGTCATAATTGAGATGATTATGGCTTACAGTTCATGAAAACCCCAAATCCACAATCTCAGAAAATTAGAATATTGTGAAAAGGTTCAATATTCTAGGCTCAATGTGTCCCACTCTAATCAGCTAATTAAGCCATAACACCTGCAAAGAGTTCCTGAGCCTTTAAATGGTCTCAGTCTGGTTCAGTAGGAATCACAATCGTGGGAAAGACTGCTGACCTGACAGTTGTGCAGAAAACCATCATTGAACCCTCCATAAGGAGGGAAAGCCTCAAAAGGTAATTGCAAACGAAGTTGGATGTTCCCAAAGTGCTCTATCAAAGCACATTAATAGAAAGTTATGTGGAAGGGAAAAGGGTGGAAGAAAAAGGTGCACAAGCAGCAGGGATGACCGCAGCCTGGAGAGGATTGTCAGGAAAAGGCAATTCAAAAGTGTTGGGGACTTTCACAAGGAGTGGACTGAGGCTGGAGTCAGTGCAGCAATAGCCACCACACACAGACTGATCCTGGACATGGGCTTCAAATGCCATATTCCTCTTGTCAAGCCACTACTGAACAACGTCAGAAGCGTCTTACCTGGGCTAAAGAAAAACAGACCTGGTCTGTTGCTCAGTGGTCCAAAGTCCTCTTTTCTGATGAGAGCAAGTTTTGCATCTCATTTGGAAACCAAGGACCCAGAGTCTGGAGGAAGAATGGAGAGGCACACACGGCAAGATGCTTGAAGTCCAGTGTGAAGTCTCCACAGTCTGTGTTGATTTGGGGAGCCATGTCATCTGCTGGTGTTGGTCCACTGTGCTTCATTAAGTCCAGGGTCAATGCAGCCATCTACCAGATTTTGGAGCACTTCATGCTTCCTTCCGCAGACAAGCTTTATGGGGATGCTGACTTCATTTTCCAGCAGGACTTGGCACCTGCCCACACTGCCAAAAGCACCAAAACCTGGTTCAATAACCATGGGATTACTGTGCTTCATTGGCCAGCAAACTCACCTGATCTGAACCCCATAGAGAATCTATGGGGCATTGCCAAGAGAAAGATGAGAGACATGAGACTGAACAATGCAGAAGAGCTAAAGGCCGCTATTGAAGTATCCTGGTCTTCCATAACACCTCAGCAGTGCCACAGGCTAATAGTTTCCATTCCATGCCGCATTGAGGCATTAATTGCTGCAAAAAGGGCCCAAACCAAGTACTGAGTACATATGCATGCTATTCAGAGGTCCGATATTATTCTATGTTACAATCCTTGTTTTATTGATTGCATGTAATATTCTAATTTTCTGAGATTGTGGATTTGGGGTTTTCATGAGCTGTAAGCCATAATCATCTCAATTATGACAAATCACGGCTTGAACTATCTTGCTTTGCATGTAATGAGTCTATCTCATATATTAGTTTCACCTTTTAAGTTGCATTACTGAAATAAATGAACTTTTGCACAATATTTTAATTTTTCGAGTTTCACCTGTATACTGAGAGTATTTACACCAAGACAAATTCCTTGTGTGTCCAATCACACTTGGCCAATAAAGTATTCTATCCATCTTCTTAAAAGCACAATATTCCACATTGTAGCATTCATTATGTAGCACTGCAGAAATGGAACCCTAAGGAGATCTGGAAAGCCACATCTCCATTTCTGGTCTATTGACTTTCCAAAGACCGTGAAGCACTTTAAATTATAACCAGTGGAGTTTATATTGCTATTTGATTATAAAACTTTCAATCTTAAAAGGTTGGAGTATATGTTTCCTTTTCAGTCTTATGTTGAAAAATAAGTGATGCTTATTCAACCATGCATGTTATGTTAATATGAAATTTGCAGGATATTTCAACAATGGTGAGATTCAGATCAGCCTACAGAGGAAGAGCTAGATATTGTGTAGCTTTTTTGTACATTAAGCCACCCAGAGTTACCTTATAGCAGAGATGGCTGGCATAAACATTTAATAAATAAAAATAAATATGTAAACATTTCAGCACTAAACACAAAACATGTATTTACTGATGCATATATATATTCATGGGGAAACCTACCTTATAAAAGAAATTTGTTTCCCTGCAATATCAGAAAAAATGAAATGGACTAGATTCACAAATCATTGTGTCAATTATAAAAAGAAATGTAGTCTTTGGCAATTAAATGCATCTTTATGTACAAATAGCCATAAACACGTAAGTAGTATCATCATCCTTCAGTCTTTTAGAACAGCGCCTACATGGCTGACTTATGCATCTAAACCCTGATGCTATTAAAATGCGCCATCCAAATTGGGACGCACAACTGAGATGCCATGAATCAGCTTTGGTAGAACAACTGGTAGACTTTCTCTTGTTTGGGTTAATTGAATAGGAACATATTTGAGTTTAGGTGGCGGCCGTGGTATTCTGTAACACAAAGAAGAAAGATCCAAAATTCCTTCTTGATTCAAACTCCAGGAATCGTAGACTTCAGCTGTAGGGCATGGATGTGGAGGATGTACCATCTTCATGAGTTTGGGCTCCATCACAAGTTTCAATAGATCTTTCTTAAACATTTCCCAGGCATTCTGTCGAAGGAAGATCTGACACAGCTCATCATCACTGAAAAGTGAAAGCAATATTAAAAACTGGATTCCTCTTTTAAGTAGCAGATTATCTGGAATATTTTCAGTCTTTCTATTTCTAAGTGTCCAAGTATTGTTTCTCTACATTTGAAGAATTCATCAGACATGATTATCACATCCCACCAGCATCTTTCCTTCTTCCCTGTAGTATTTAGAAAGTCATTATGACTCTTCTTGTTTCTTTTGGTTGATGCTTCTTATCTCTTCTTACAATGCCTGACTTGTATTTGTAGGTTGAGATATGGCATGCATGCAAGATCTAATTTGAATTGGTCTCCGGGACCAGAGCTTTCAAACTCATGCTGGAGCCCACTCCCAGGGAATTTCTCTTTATTGGAATACTAGCTCAATACCCATGCTTTGCTACAAAGCTATGTGGTTGGGCTTAGTTTTTGGGGAGGAAAATAAGGGGGGGGGAATCTTCCTCTGCTTACCAGCATCCATCGGTATTCATCTGGCTAGCATCTTGCCAGTGTGTGAGAGTTGAGGGCTGTTTGGAAACTGAAACAGTATTTGCTGTGTGAGCAAGGAGACGGCAAGGAGCCTGGTCATGGCTTAGTTCAACTATTCTGTACTAAAGCTGCTTGGTGCTGTGAAACTAAAACTCCTCTCCTCTGCTTGTGTTTTGCATTTGGAACAGATTTCTTTTCAGGTGGGCAGGGGAAGTAGAACTTCTTAGTATCAGAGCGTGTTAATAATAATATTCAAAATACTAATGCTCTGATGGTCATTTAGAAAAATCCTTTCTTAGTGAGCACCTAGAAGCCAAGAGGAACATATGTGGCAAATTTCAAGATTTGTATGCTTTACGGTTCTAGAGATTTTGTGATGAGGCGTGAGTGGAGATGTGCTTTGGGCTCCAGTTCCCTGAAGATTGGCTCCAGCACGAGTCTGAAAGCTTGGAAGAGTAAACTTCTGATCCCAGTAACTAACCCATATTGGATTTTGCAACATTATCCTGGGACACATATTTGCCTTCGTTTATGGCATGTATGTCTACATTCATTATGTCCCTGGAGAGAGCACTTTAGATACTGTTCTTTGTCTCTACACTTCATCTTCTTCCTGTTCTTGACAATCAAGTACCTTTGCATGGTAGGGAGGAAAGGGAAAGTTAAAGTGCTCATTGGGATTTGATATACAAAACGTGCTGAAGCTGAGTCAGCTGGATTCCAGTCTGACAGTTCATGGTTTCCCACCCAGTGTATGTCTTTAAGAGATTCCACAATGCTGGACACACAATTTTCTGTTACAAGGGTGAGAATCCTTCTTCTATTAATCAACTCTAAAAACTCCATCAGGGCCCTTGCTCCTTGCAACCACCATACTAAAATTGCTTTCACAGTATACAAACCCTCTTGAACATTCAGAGATACTCATAATTATTCAGTAATGATTGTTCAGTATTTTGAAAAGAAAGTATTCATGGCTAGAGTTGCTGCTTAAAGTCTTAATGCTTTAAAACTGGTTTGGGAAATATTCTGAAAAATTTGGGAAGGGTAAAAGATATGGTCAAGAAATTTGGTGTTTGGAGGATAAGGAGACCAGTAATGTAACACCACCTTTTCTATCTTTTGCTTTCATACCCATCCACCCAGTTGTTCTCTAGCTTACTTGTATTATAGGGCTGCTAATAAATGCTTACTTGGATTCAGAATTATGAAGTACATCTATAATAGAGACTTAGATCCTGGAGGAGAATGAGGAAATTACATTTACACAGTTATCTTTAGATCACCGGTTTAGGTCAGGAAGCCCTTTAGAAGAGAAGTAGCTTTTGAGAAAACCCATGTGTAGCTGTGGGTATATGGAACATTTTTGTTAAAAAGAAAAAGAAAAAAGAACTGACCACTTTGTCTATTTTCAAATATGACTAAATTGTTTTCCTTGGAAAGGACAAACATGAGCCACTAACCAGCCTTCATCTTTTCAAGAATTTTCTCAGCGTGAAAACATCTGATGAAGAATATTAAGGAGACTCTAGTGATTCCAATTCTCCCTATAAACCGAAGGATTTCCAATTCCAGAATGACAAAAAGTATATATTACTAGTATTAATAGCATCAGTAACACTATAGGTAGTCCTCAAGGTAAGAACCTAATGGAACCTGCCAATTAGGTTGGTAAGTTAAAAAATTTGTCAAATGAATCAGACTCAATTTTACCAATGTTTAAAATCAAATTCATTACTTCAATCAAATGGATCATTAAATGAACGAAGATCTGACTATTTCCTCTGATTCATTAATTGATTGCTGTCATCGTTAACTGAACTGAGAGGCTTTCCTGCCGGTCTGACCATCAGCTATTTCCAGTGCAGCCTTCAGCTGAGGAACTAAATTGCTTCCAAGCAGGCTGGCAGAGCTCTCTGTTTACAGTTGCTTTAAAAAAAACAACTATTTGCTGTTAGTCAGCTCAAGCTTCTTCAGACAGCTGCCCAAAAGAGGGTGGGGTGGTAATTTACAGAACTCTCCTATTGCAGTTGCTTTTTAAAAAAAAATCACTTGTCACCAATTAGCTTAAGAGTCTCCAGCCAGGCACCCAGAGGGAGATGGTGGAGGGATTTACAGAACTCTGGGTTTACAACAGTAACAGAGATAGAAGGGACCTTGAGGTCATCTAATCTAACCCACTGCTCTCACAAGAGAATATTTCTGATAAATGCCTATCCAGTCAGCTTCCAGTGATAGAGTACCCACAACTTCTGGAGGCAATTTAAATTAAAAACCTATAGGCTACAGTCATATACACTTAACAAGAGCCATAGTGGCACAGTGGTTAGAATGCAGTACCGCAGGCTACTTCTGCTGACTGCCAGCTGCCAGCAGTTCGAATCTCACCAGGCTCAAGGTTGACTCAGCCTTCCATACTTCCGAGGTGGGTAAAATGAGGACCCGATTGTTGGGGCAATCTGTAAACCACTTAGAGAGGACTGTAAAGCACTATGAAGTGATATATAAGTCGAAGTGCTATTGCTAATCTCCAAAATGAAAGCAAGGACAAACAACATTGCTCCCATTGCATTTCAAATTCCAAGAGGTTGGTGGGAGGAGCTGCTGGCTGCTTGTGAGAAAGCAGAGGGTGAGCACAAAGGAGAAAGATAGCAGCCCACGTGCCGTTAAACCAAAAATACCAATAATACATTTAGGGTTAGTGCACTTGAGATTGTGACTTTATTTTATTTCAAAAGGACTGGCTTAGTTCAGTGTAATACTTGTTTTACAGCTGTCTTTCGCAGTACTCTTTTCAAATTTGGATACTGTCCTCTTTGTAAAAAAATTACCAGTCTACATGGACAGATTACCTATGTAGAATCTCTAATCTGTGCTCTCCAAGCAGAAATTAGGTGCCCAATCCAGCCATCTATTGAGCTGCCATGCTATCAGCCCCCACTATCACAAAGATCCTACAGGAAAAGGGCAGTATGGACAACCGTGGGATCTGGCAGGGTGAGAGCTGTGGACCATAAAAACAAAGCTTTTGCTGTGTCCCAGCACAACAGATACAGTGCCCTTGCTGACCTTAATAGGGACACTAAAGTGACAGGTCAAGGTAGTTGTGATAACGATAACTCAAATAAGCCGGGGATCATGGTCCTACAAGAAAAACTTACTTTGGAAAGGAAAAAGTGTCAATCAGGTATTAAGCACCAGTCACACAAGAAGAGCAAGGCATCCAAAAAGAGAAGCCACCTTTTGGTTGGGGACTCAATTGTAAGGGATGTAAATTTAGGAAAGGATATGGAGGTTTTGAAAGAGGTCAGGTGTCTGCCAGATGCTACTGCCAGCAGAGACAACAGGCGTATTCTTAAGATAGTCAAGAATGCCAGTAAGGACTGTGATATTGATGCTATTATACATCTTGGTACAAATGATCTGTCCCAGAAGGATGTTCAGAAAGACTTCCAGAGCTTGGGATATGAACTTAGTAATATGGGCTGTAGGCTTATCTTTTCAGAGGTTTTACCAGTATACAAGGAACAAAAAGGGAAAGGCCAGCGTGTAGAGGAGTTTAATGTGTGGCTAAAGGAGTGGTGTAAAAGGAAAGGCTTTGGTTTTATTTGTCATGATGTCTGCAGCTGGTCCGATGAAAAACTATACAAAAGAGATGGTTTGAATCCATCAAAGAAAGGGACTGAGTTACTTGGCATTAAATTCACAGATTTCCTGGATAAACATTTAAACTGAACAGCGGGGAAAGAGAATTAATGGATACAGAACATTTCTGTCCCCAGCAACCTAAAATTAATAAGGATACTAGTGTATGCAAAATAGATATTTATGCAGGTAAGATTATCAACCTTACTGTCAATCAAAAGCATTTAATAGTGAGTGTCATATCATGTGCATTAATCAAACAGGTGGCAAGAAAGTAGGGGCAGGTAGGCACAACACAGGTTATATAGACAGTAAACACAGTGACAGACATAAAGATCTCAAGTGCCCATATACAAATGAACAAAGTCTGGGGAACAAACAGGGTGAACTCGAACAACGAATACATGAAGGTAAATATGATATAGTTGGAATAACAGAAACTTGGTGGGATGAAACCCATGATTGGAACATACTGGTAGAAGGATACAAACTTTAAAAAAACAGACCCCATAAAAGAGGAGGTGGAGTTGCACTGTATGTAAACGACCACTATATTGCTACAGAAATGCATGAAACCAAAGATGAAAACCTCCTAGAATGCATATGGGTCAATATAAAAGAAAAAAAGATTGACATGGCCATAGGTGTATATTAATAGATCACCCAATCAAGCAGAAAAAATAGATGTCCTTTTTGCCAACCAACTAACAACATATGCAGGAAACACACAACAATAGTAATGGGAGACTTCAATTATCCTGATATCAATTGGAAAACTAATTCTGCACCAAGTGAGAAATCAAATAAGTTCCTAACCAACCTAGCTGACAACTTTGTTGTCCAAAAGATAGAGGTGAAACTAGAGGGACAGCCATACTGG